GATGTTGATGGTAGATATTAGCAGTAGCAGCAGTAGCAGCAGCAAGAGGAGGAGGGGTGGTGGTAGTAGTAGTAGTAGTAGTAGTAGTAGTAGCAGTAGCAGTAGCAGTAGTAGCAGCCTCTGGTGACCTACACAGGGAGGCATGTTCAGAGAGGATGAGTGGTTTCTTCTTTTGCAGTGGTGCCTAGCCCACTGCACTACACGGCCTCAGACGAAACACTGATGGGTGTCGCTCCTTGTGAACAAATTCATCAGGGCATGCACCCACGAGACGTTGTCAAGTTTTGTGCTACAGCGCAACATGTCAGTGAGTATCCACATGGATCCAGACAATGATCCTCGCAGTGTCAATGTGGTGCATTACCATCGCAGTTTTCACTGTCACAGACCCCAACTTCCTTGATGCAGCAACGGTTGAACAGTTGAGACGACTCCAGAATGAGCACACAATGTACAGTTTTTGAACCAGTGTGCCGCCACGGCCACTCAGCCAATGCGCTCCTCGTGGGCCACTTGTACAAAACAGTGCTCGTGCCATGTTACAAGGTTAGCTTGACATCACTCCAAATGTTTATGAATGCGCCAGCTCATCGAGTTGCCGGGTTGTATATACGATGTATACCTGCACACTCTCTTGACTAGTTGAGTAGGTTGCACGTTTGCAGGTATTCGTAGCGGAACTTGCCCTGGATTTGGTGCTCGAGAAGCACCGGTGCAAAGCTCTGCCACTACCTGAACGCCAAGCTGAGCGACCGGCTGCGATTGAAATGAAATAGTAGTATCCAGTAGCAGTTAGAAGTAATCTTAATAGTAGCAGCAGCAGCAGCAGCAGCAGAAGCAGAGCCATGCCGGTTGCAGCAGCAGCATCAGCAGCAGCAGCTGCAGCAGTAACGCTAGCAGCAGCGTTGGGGGAAGAGCCGCGGTCGCGAGAATAGCGGCAGTGACAATGATCGTAGCAGCAGCGGCAATACGAGCTGTGGGAGTCGTAGAAGGTGGAGCAGCAAAGCAACAACACCAGCAGCAGTTGTTGTAACAGCAAAAGGCTAGGTCAGACCGTCAGACAGTGGTACAGGAATAGGAGCCTAGAAGACTGCGGCACAAGAACGAGCTGTTGTTCCCTGAGAAACAGGTTCATGGCCTTCGTGCGCAGCAGTGAAGGCATTGCTCTGCTGCCGCGCTTGAAAAAAGCCTCAGTTCACTTGAGTAAAGTTGTTGAGCTAAGTGATAAGATTGAAAATGCCACAAAGGTGGCAAGATCTGAAAGGTGGGTTTCTGTTCATGACCAAGCGTCCTCGAAGTGTGTCAGATGCTGACCACATCATACCAGGCCATGCGAAAAACAGCTTCATGTTGGCATACATCGACAAGGTGTCTGCCAGAATATATCCTGTTGCCGAGCATGTGAGCTGCAACCACCGTAAACCATCACTTGAAGCCTAATTGCCGGCGCTTTTGGCGAGTCCTGCGGGTATAGCCACAAGCCATGCGGTGTACTTCGAAAATCCGTACTTGATGCGGATGTCGATGCCCAAGGCCCCAACAAATAAACCTCTGTTGTGTGTATGGAGCAGAGAAAAAGCCGAAGAGTCGTGCATTCGCAACACGTACTCTAGACACTGGAGCACGAGGCGCATCGGAGCGTAGCTGCTTCTGCAACTGCATCTCCGGAATGTAGAGTCGCCACCAAAACGGGGAACATAATGAACAGCCTTTCAGCTGTGACTTGACAACTACTCAGTCACTCAGACTCTTCTATGACTTTGCTCCAAGATGTAACGGGAAGAACAGCCAGCAAGTATCGCTGCTGAACCTTTCTGATACAGCGGATCTACTTGCGGTCCAACCGGCGATGCTGCGTATAGAATGTGGTATGTTCTCGCCTGCCAAACAGGTACCGTTCGCCAATGGAGAGGACAGGGCTTCACACCTAAACGACTTTCGCAGTAGCAGTAGAGTACCTCGCCTCAATGATGCCCTTACGCACGAGCGTCATGAGGAAGGAGGCAATCTCAATTGCAAGGATCGCACAGAATGATGACGAGGGAGTCCCGAAAACCTCATTCCGTGCAGCAAGCTTAACAGAGTAAGATTGAGCACATCGACCTCATCCTCCACAGTCCTCCACCCTAACTCAAGAGTCAAGTAAACCTGCGATGCAGATGAAGCTAGCAAGATCACTGGGTGCAGGCAATCTCAACACTTCCCAGCCTAGGCCTAAGGCCGTATTTGGTCTGGCGCTCCCCGGTCCGACACCCCTCCCCTCCTGCGTTTCCGCCCATCCACACCCCCTTCTCTTTGGGTTCATTCACCACTCGGAGGAGCTGGGGTTCAACGGGGTTCCATGGCAAAGTCTTGGCCTAGAAGAGATGGGAGAATGCACACCTCCAAAGAAATACTACACTGGCCACAGATTCGCTGACAGCAGGATAGGACCAAGCAGCAACTGATATTCAACGAGCAAGGAAAGCCCACCGTCCACAAAACAGCTTTGACCTATCTGCCCTCTTGGGGGACCTTGAAGACAGATTCCCGTAAATGGTGCACGATGGTGAGCATGCATGCAGTGCACGAATGATCTCGCAACTGCAAACTCCAATTCTTGGCGGCCCGAGAAACAGCGAGTGCCGTTGCTGCAAACTGCGACTTGGCATAGAATCTTTTGGCAACCTGCGAGTCTGATGAACCAGGCAAGACAACACAGCAGTCTAAGAACCATGAGGAGAAGAGACTGCAGCAAACAGCCAAAACCAGCCACCTTCTCAAGTGTCTCAGGTGTCTTTTTGGGGTATGGCCTCACGACGGTGTGCAGCCACCAGAATTGGGCAAAGCGATACAGCATCTGAGCCAAGCACATCGAGTTGGTTGTACGATCGTCCTCGTCGCGTGCAGACACAGCCGATCAACTGCACGGAATAAATGCGATTATAGATTTGACAGGCGGTCCGTGCTGCCAATCTGTTCAGTCGTGATGTCGGCTGCTTTGCAGGTAGCTAGCACTAGGCACACCTGCGAACACACCAGCAAGCTCTCATGAGACAGCAGCATCACAGATTTAACTTGGGTAAACTTGTCAAGGCGACCCGGTGCCTTGGCAGTTACGGCGCCAATGCCTGGCTGCCGCAGCCACCAATCTGGGGCCCAAATGCCAAGGGCAGTAGCGACCTTAGCCGCAGAATTCCGTTGTAACATTGTAACGACCACGCTGTCAACCTCGCAGGGAAACTAAGCACGCAACCAGATGACGTATAGCGAAAAGCGCGTTGTGCACGCGAAACTCCCTGCTGAAGAAGCAGCTATACAAATCCGAAAGCGCGGTTAGCGTGATGGCAGGTTATCCGGGATACTTATATGCCTCCAGATCATAGGCTTCGTCCAGATTCTGTTCCTGACTTGCAGCATTTGCAGAAATACACAGACAACCTATGATAATTTGTTCTTCTTTGCCGTGGTGCCGCGGCAATTCGAACTGGAAGCTGAGAGCCTTTGCGCAGCTGCAAACTAGCAACTAGCACTGATTGGCACAGCAAGTAACATAACTGCAGTCTCGGGGCGTGCAGCAGCACGTGAACCAGTAGGCAAGCAGCGGAAAAAGTGTTCTGCTGGAAGGACTCCCGCCTAAAGACGCAATAAGCAAGTGTGGCCACGATGCACCGAAGCCATGCACCAAACACCCTGAGCACTGAATATTCAGCAGAAGCGGCTGAAGGATCAGAACGTTATAGAATCCTCCGCTGGTGCGCGATTGGGTTGCATGTAACGGACGTTGATGATGCTTCACTGCACTTTGTCTTAAGATTTTGTGTGCCCAGGACCGCTTGCAGGAAGGCTGCTCAAGGCACAGAATTCAAGCATCTCGTGCACTGCTTCTCTTTTGGCTAATCATCTTTGTGAACGGCTAACCTTTTTCAATTTATAGTGGCTGGTGGCAACTTCCTTGCGCCTGGCTGCTGGTCTTGCAAAGCTCTGACCGCAAACATTCTGTGATGAGATACCGCATCGCACAGCATGTGCCTGGGGGTGTATTTGCGGGCTCACCTGCAGATTGCAATGCTCGGCTGCGAGTCGATCCGCGGGACAAACCGATATCCCAAGGTTGCACCTCATGCCGGTGCGAAACGATCAAAACACCAGGATAAAGGTTCCCGATGCAACCTCCAATTTCTCGTTCATTCGGAAGCTTTCTGGTCATACGTCGGTCATCCCAGCCAGTCACGGCCAAGCCAAGCCAAGCACCCACCCACACCAGACCAGGCCAAACCAGACCAGACCAGGCCAGGCCAGGAGACCAGACCAGCCACCCACGCCAAGCCAATTCGATTTAAATGCGAATGTCCTAAACCTTTGTCATAGGAGACCCTTTTGTCTAACAGTTAAGCCCAACTCATCTGAAAATCATTGTCTAATAGGCAAGCACTCTCTAAAAGGAAAACCGTATCTAATGCGTAAACCATTGTGGAATAAGAACGATCTGCCAAAACAGCGTCTTAAACATACCACATCATATATATATATATATGTATATAAACATAAATATAAATAGATACAAATGTACATATATATATAGGTGTACATATACATAAAAAACAAGTAAATAAATAAATATAAATATAAATATAAATATAAATAAATATAATCAAATAAATATATATATATATAGAGAGAGAGAGAGAGAGAATTCATGCGCACATACATAGGTATGTATGTGTATGTATATGTATATGTATATGTATATGTATATGTATATGTATATGTATATGTATATGTATATGTATATGTATATGTATATGTATATGTATATGTATATAATATATGTACAGATGTGTACGCATTTCAACAAGTATATATATATATATGTATATGTATATCAGTTTACACGATCT